TATTTTTATTGGAGGCAGCATTTTCGCGTTCGTTCTTCATCCTTTAAAAAATACATAATAATATTTGTGATATTTATTGTTTATCATGGTTGTTATTTCGGTAATTCATACGTACAATAATAAAATTCCAAAAAACATAGGCTTACTAGCCAAGAGGGTGGTATCAGTAGTTGATCAATTTAAAAAGGACTTAACTCTCAGAGATTTACCGATTGGATTGTTTGGGGTAAGGATTTTCTTTAATCACGTTTTGAAATACTAACATTAGCGTTCATGAATTACTTAAAACTTATATTTATATTTATATTTAATTTGGAATTATTTAATAATTTAGGCGTCAACTGGCGGAGGAGGTATGAAGGAAATGAAAAATGTTTGCATAATATTTATAAAGTAAACCTCCCGTCTTGGTAATTAACATTCTCCTCCCCCTTATCATGTATCGTCTGATTATGATTCCCTGCATATATGAATTTCGCTATTCCCCGCAAACAAAAATCAGCTGCGTTGTTAGTCGCCCACGAACGTCCAAATGACATCAAAGCGGTCATTTCTCGCGGCGGCAGACCCGATTTGGTCAGTTCCGAAATTCTTAAAGAAATACCCACACCAACTTTATTTATCGTTGGAGGAAATGACCCTGCAGTGCTGGGCTTGAATGAAAAAGCATTAAAGGATTTAGGTAGTCAAATAAAGCAACTAGAAGTTATTCAAGGAGCATCTCACTTGTTTGAAGAATCAGGTAAAAGTTTATTGTATTTAGTGCAAAATCGAAAGTCAATATAATCTTATTCTAGTAAATTCAACCGGAGAATAGAATCTACGATTTCATATATTCATAGATTAGATGAGATACGCATAAGTACATTATTAACATTAATCATTTTATTTCGGGAAACATTTAAACAGGTTGCCTTGAAAAAGTAGCAGATCTTGCAGCTCAATGGATTAAACAATTCTTGACAAGTGATCACGATGAAAAATAAAAGTTATCACATCCTATTAGAGTTGTTTTGATGTTTAAATGTATCGTAGCTTCATTATCAATCAGAACAACTACGTACAACTTGGTTGTTAAATTTATTTATTACTTAAAAGTTTTTATTAAAGTTTAAAATACACGCCTTAATGAGCGTGTATGGCTTAGCAAGTGTAACCTTAGCAAACTTTATCCGTGTCCTTGTTAACATCAATGCATTTGTATCATACTTTAAGAGTCCTTGTACGTACATGCATTACTAATTTGCCCAAAAATAATTTGCATATATTACCAAGACGGGAGGTTTACTTTATAAATATTATGCAAACATTTTTCATTTCCTTC